AAGAAAAAGTCCTACAGCCGCAAAGATTTCTCTTAATAATGTTTAACATTAGGGGGCTAAAGGGTGCAACCACCAAGGTCTGAGCTCAGCAGTGTGCATTGGATTATAGCCAGGATTCATACTCACAACACTGGATCAGCACTATTAAAAAGGGTATCACACGAAGGCTTCTTTCAAGATGCATACGCAAACATGTGTGGTAGGCTAAGACTATGACAAAACTTATGCTAAGCACTGTGGGGGATCTATAAGTAAAGCTGACTGAGCGGGGAACCCACACTAATGCTCTTAGGCTGCAAACTTAGACAGCTACTAGGGAGCAAACCTATCAAATATAGGAGGATTTATTTCTAGGTGAATCCTCATTTGCTCTTCCCTACTCTACCCCTAGCTAGAAGGAATTCTTCTCTGCTTCCATTGCATCCTCAGAATGCTGTCCAGCTGGGCTTTTTTGAGTGGTATGAGGCCTTTTCTGACCCCAAAAAAGGACTTGATCGTACCGTCCATAGTTTGCTGTGACAACTTTGCCCAGCACTTAAAGGATAAAATTTGCCACGAGCTGAATTCCTCAGTGGTCAAGACTCTAAAGTGGGAAGTGTCCAGAGTATCATCTGGTCCATCTCTGTTGGATGAGTTTCAATTGTGGCCTGAGGATGTGGACAAGGTGCTTGGACTAGTTCAGCCTACCACTTGCTTACACGACCCTTGCCCCTCGTGACTGCTCATTGGAGCTAAGGATGGGATATGTACCTAGGTCCGGGAAGTTATCAATGCTTCTCTGAAGGAGGGTTGGGTCCCTGCCCCTTTGAAGGGGGTGGTGATCAGGCCTGTCCTGAAGAGAGCCTCCCCAGACCCAGAGATAGCCACCAATTATAGACCAGTGGCTAATATCCCATTCTTGGGCAAGGTGTTCAAGCAGATGGTGGATGGACAACTCCAGGCACTCTTGCAGGAAACAGACCATCTCGACCCATTTCAGTCTGGCTTCAGTCCTGGCTACGGAATGGAAACTGCCTTCGTCGCCCTGTATGACAACCTGTGCAGGAAAAGAGACAGGAGGAGTGTATCCCTGTTGGTTCTCCTGGACCTCTCAGAGGCTTGTGATATCATCAACCATGGTATCCTTCTGGATAGGCTGGCCGGGTTAGGAGTTGGAGGCACTGCTCTGAGGTAGTTCCACTCCTACCTCTCTGGCTGATTCCAGAAGGTGGTGCTGGGAGATTGTGCCTCTTCACCACGGCAACTTTGCCATTGAGTTCTGCAGGGTTCCATTTTATCCCCCATGCTTTTTAACATCTACATGAAACCTCTGGGAGAGGTCATGCGGAGGTCTGGGCTGCAGAACCATCAGTACGCTGATGATACCCAGTTCTGCCTCTCCTGTACATCTACTCCAGTTGGAACAGTGGCCATCCTTAACTGGTGCCTGGCCAGGATAATGGGCTGGATGAGGGCCAAGACACTGAGGTTCAATCCCGATAAGACGGAGGTCCTGTTGGTAGGCAGTTCAGCCCTAGAGGTGAGTGACATCTGCCCTATTCTGGACAGGGTTGTACTCCCCCTAAAGGACAGGGTGCATAGTTTGGGAGTGCTCCTCAGTCCAGAGCTGTCGCTGGAATCTGAGATGGCAGCAGTAGCAGGGAGGGTCTTTCACCAGCTTTGGCTGGTCTACCAACTGTGCCCTTACTTGGATGGGCAGGGCCCGGTAGCGGTGACCCACACCCTGGTAACTTCCTGACTGGATTATTGTAACGTGTTCTACATGGGGCTGCCCTTGAAGATGGTCCAGATAGTTCAATTGGTTCAGAACTGAGCTGTCAGGATATTAATGGGGACCAGCAGGTGTTCACATGTAACACTGTTCCACTATCATCTACACTGGCTACTGATTGAAGTCCAAGCCCAATTTAAGGTGCTGGTGATGACCTATAAAGCCCTACATTGCTTGGGTTCTGGATACCTGAAGGAGCACCTTCTCCCCCATGTGCCCTCCTGCCCCTTGAGATCTGAGTCAGAGGCCCTCCTTTGGGAGTCATCCTTGAAGGAGATCAAGAGGGCCAATAATGGAACACGCTCCCCAGAGAGGTTCGCCTGGCACCAACAGTTCTTTCTTTTCGGCGTCAGGCGAAAACCTTTTTATTCTCCCAGTATTTTAATTGTTAACCTGTTTTAGTGGTTTTATATTTTAACATCGGATGCCATGCAACTGTTACTCTTATTTCTATTATGTATTGTATTGTATTGTATTGAATTGTATTAATCTGTTGTAAACCATCCTGAGACATCTGTGATGGGACATTATAGAAAAGTTTTAAATAAATAAGCACAACAGTGCTGGACAAAGACCTCAACACTGCACACTGCTGCTATTTTAAAAAGTGCCTGGGTCCTGATTTCTTCAAATCCTAAAATCTACACCAAATATTGCAATATCGTGTTTGTAGCAACTTCATCAGTACACAACTCTTCAAGTACTCAAATGCACAGTTGGGTACCTGAAGACCAAGCAAGATTCCTCATAAAGGCATTGCCTAACAAAGATTCTCTCCCCATCCTCCATGGATTAACATGGGTACCTCTCGGTTTTGCTGTTTATTAAGTTACCAAAGTTGTCAATTCTCAGGTTTCTCCCTAGATCCTGATATCAGAACTATCTTCCAGGTGGATAAGGCAGGTTGTAGCTCTGAGCTTATATACCAAGGAGGAACACACCAGTCCTAAACTAACCTAGGTATAAACCCCACTGAATTTGATATAGCCTACTTCTAAGTAAACAAGTTAACAGCTGCGCCATAAATTTGATGCAATCCTGAACATGTTTCCTGACTCATATATCTCTCTGTAATTTCCCTAACCCACATAGTTCCCTGTACCATCTCAGCTACTTTTCCCACCTCACATCTCTAGCCATAACCAGTGGTTATTTTTCCACATGAAGCTCAGCTGAAAGTGCTGCCTGGTCCCCAAAGTGCACAGTAGTACCTCACTTCACAATAGCTACTGAAGCATCACAGGGGAGTTGAACTTAAAGTCACAGGGAGATGGTGAAATGTAATGTGGGATCTCTTTGCTGTCTTTTTTCTTCCTGTTCTTTCCCACAAGCATGTTATGAGTTATTTTATGTTAGAATTCCTCTGTAGGAGCTGCAAAGCTGGCCATCTATTCTGCATGGATCTCATGTCCTTGTTATTTACTGCACTGGGATAAAGGGCACCCTTTGCCATTCATTTTTGCCATTCAGGATGTTGGTCCTGGGGGACTTCAATTTCCATGCCGAGACTGTTTTGACCAGGGCAGCTCAGGACTTCATGGCCACCATGACAGCCATGGGGCTGTCTTAACACGTCACCGGCCCAACACATGAACGAGGCCACACTCTGGACCTGGTTTTCTCAACAGGGCAAAATGATGGTGATCTGGAAGTAAGGGATTTGATGTTAATCCCTTTGTCATGGTCAGACCCTGGTTACCTGAAGGAGCTTCTCCTTCCATATGTGTCCACCCACCCCTAAAGATCTGGGGCAGATGCCATTCTCCAGGTGCCTTCCCTGAAGGAGATTAGTAGGGTGATTACCTGGAGAAGGGCCTTCTCTGGCGTGGCACCCTAATTATGGAATTCGCTCCCCAGAGAGGTTTGCCTGGTGCCGTCACTTTATCCTTTTCACCACTAGGCCAAACCTTTTTTATTTTCCCAATGTTTTAAGACCTGACTGTTTTAAGTGAGCTTTTTATTATTGCAAAATTTTTAGGACGTTTTAATTTTTTTTGTCTTTTCTTACATTTTATTGTTAAACCGTTCTGAGACTTTGGTAAAGGGATGGTCTACAAAAGTTTTTAATAAATAAATAAATTTTGTACAGAATAGTACTACAGAAAATTAAACCAAATGTAATTCTGGTTTTTCTGGTAGGTGTGGGGGAAGGAAACAAAACCAGATACAAACTATATGTCCATAACAGGGGCTATCAACCCTGGATCCTAACACTACTGAAATCACTGATAAATTGAAGCTCATCTTTCTACCCTGAGCACAGGTCCCCTCATATTGGCAAAAAACTCTGAAATATATTTTGCAGAACATTCTCAGGACTGCATTTAGCCTGAAAAAAAACATTATAGAATTTGGTCACCAATATGGCAAAGTGTGACTTCACTGTCTTGTTAAGTGAACAACATGAACAACAACTACACTTCCTGTTATTCCATTTTTAGATTGTTAAGCTTAGATCTCACTGACATCCTCCAGCAAATATTTACATCAGTGAGTATTTTTGCTGAAAGTATTGGGTGAAATACAACATTGCACAAATGATCTTCTGCTCACATGATGATACTTTTCTTTCCCTCTCCTTTCTGCAACCTCCTATGCTCCCCCAGATCTAGTATTGAAGAGCTGCAAGGAGAAACTGGAATCACCCCTCCCCATACTGTTGCCAGAAGGCTTCCTTCAACATAAAGGCACTACTTGGTTTCTGACCATTACCTATTAGTCAGTATTCATAACTAATATTAAGAGCAAGCCAGCACTCTTGCTGTAGATTATTTCAACAGACCTAGCCCATGGGGTACTTGCAGCAGGAATAAGTCAGTTGTTCCACCATAACCTCACAAATGGAAATGTATATTTATGTGCAGAAATGCTTCCTGTATTATATTTTGGCTTTAGGAGCCTATGCCACAAAAATTTAGGGCCTTGTTCATATGCGTTTGCACACAAAAAGGACAAAGGAGAGGGAGAGAGAGCGCGCGCATTAATACTAATTGATATTAATACTAATACTAATGGACACCAAACGTAAGTACTATGCTTGTATACTGCTAAAACAAGAAGGGTCTCCCATGTACAAAACATAAAATATGAAATGGCCCTCAAATTCACTATACATTTATTGTCTGGAGGAGCATGTAAAAAATAGCTGCTAGCACAGTTAAATAGATGATGGATTTACTCGGTCCAAAATATCTGATACAACAAGGTTGGGCTTTTTTAACCTACTTACCTTTGCTGTATGTCCCATGAGAAATATGGGGAGACAATGTAATGTGATTGTCACTTGAATTTACATCATTACTCTTTGTTGGCCTTAAATTATCAAGACCTTGAGGGCTATCCACAACTGACAGAGTTTCAGATGGAGAGGTACCTTTCCAGAGATATTCAGTCCCTAAAGAGTCTGTTTCCAATGTCTGTTTTTTAACCCAGTTATTCTCCTTGAGATATGCATTCCAAATGGCTTTGAGCGGTGTCTTGCTATCCTCTGGGAGCTTTGTCTTAAGTACATCTGTGATTAGCTTTCCATTAGCTAAACCATCCACTCCATCTGGTGTTAAAGTGGGAGAACTACAATTTATATTGAAAGACACTACTGACCTATGAATTTTTTGGTTCTTAGTCTGAGGTTGATCCACAGGCACTAAGAGAGATTTGTCTACATAATATATTGTATTTGGGCACTGCTGGGAAATGCTGAGGTGAACACTTGAAGTGAAGGAAATCTGTGCTTCTTTGTTAAGGTTGTTTCCAGGGGGAACCAGTCTGTTCTCTCTGTTTTCTGGACTAGTGATGCCGTAAGATTTTCCCTTGCACAGCTGTGGACAAGGTTTGGAAACTCTCTTTTCAGTGGCATTTGGATTCTGACAACATCCTTGAACATGCAAAGGTCCATAGAGCTGATCTAACCCAGTTACATTTGAAGGAGAAACAATATTCGTGAGCAGTTTACTTCCCTGACATTTCAAGCAAGAAGAGCTAGATACATTCCCCTGCATTTTATTCTTACAAGGTGGAATTACTCGTCTAGCAGTGATTGTGATGGAAGCAAATCCTTTCTTCTGGTTATGACATTCTTTTTCCTCTTTGCTGTAAGAGTCGGGTTGAACTTTATTGTCATCCGAAGATATCTGAATTCCTAATCTTCTGGGAAGCAATATGAATGCTGTATTAATGTTGACTGAGCTATGATTAGCCAAAGATTGGTTCATGTGATAAGCATCAGACTGGTTGATTACAGACTGCATAGGGAAAGCAGACACATTTTCTTTTGATTTATCCTCATCAATCATCTCTGAAATAAGCATAGATGAAATCATTTTTGTATTTTGAGATGGCAGAGAGTCCTGCAAAGGAAAAGATCCACATTTTTAAAGTGCTCTATCCTAGGAACCCATAGAAAAATGATACTTAAGCATTTGTGGTAACAGCTAATGTTTTTATATAAGACTCCTTGTTATTTCCCTTGTCCTGCAGTTTCATTTTAAACTGTTTTTAAAAGAAACACAGAGAATAACAACTCAGAAATGCCTCAAAGAGCAACAGTTAAAATATGACCAGTTTTATGCATGAATTATACATTCAAAGGTCTGTTTGTCTGAACAATTAATTGATTTGCTCAGTTGGGTACATGGCCTTGTATTTGTTTAACAATGTATGTGCCAATACTAACTGTCAATTTCAGATTATAACCTACGCCACACTGTGCCTGTGTGCCAATCTGCTGAAATATTAAAGCGCTTTATGCACTTACAGCTTTCAAATGCATTGCAAAATGAATTACGTAGGTGGACTGCGATTTTCTGTAGAGTGTTTCTGTGGGAGCTGGGTCAGTGCAGTTGCACAAAAGCATCAAATACGACTGGCTGGGGGAAGGGTGAGAATGCTTTTACTCTGCCTCCAACAAATAGCATGCACATTCTGCTAGTTATGCTTGCTCCAGTTCATTTCAGGAGTTCCTTATTGTTTAACATTTCTTGGCTGTGCAAAATATCTATAGCAGCGAAACATACACCCAGAAGTTATTAATGATGAGCTAGAATCATGTTTCTTACTACGAGCATCACAAGCTTTCCTGACAAAAACAGGATTTCCTTTAGACAAATGCTGTTATACTAAGATAATTTTCTATATGCGTTAGATAACAATAATTATAACAATATACAACTAATATAATGCAAACTTTGTCCAATATTGGTGGAAAACATTGGAGAGGGGAGAATTCTGCAGGGAGAAAAATGTGTCTTCATTTGTCATTAACCTCCATACTTTTGAATTCATCCCTGCCCACAATCTTATAACACCAAATGCTGAAATACAGCAAAAGTTAACAATGACAATCAACAAACTGTGCATCAGGATATTTGTTTTTATTTAACTGCATATTGTACAGTGTACTCTTTTAAAATGTATGCTCTTTTTTATGCTGGCTATCCAACTTTTCTTCCATTTTTAAGCCAATCCAGATCAGAACTCTACCATGGGGGACTGGAGGGCTTTTGATATCTGGATCAGGCTCTGTTCCAGAGTAAACATGAGAGAAAAAACATAGCTGCTACACTGAATTTAAAGTAATGTTTGTTTTGGCCTGTTCAAACGGGGCACAGTTATATTTAATGCTAAGACAGCCTGATTGGTTGTTTGCTGTACAACCCACAAAATAGTCAACAAATGATCAAGCTTCCCCTCCAGCGGGTTCTAGTATGTATCTCAGTGTCCTCTCCAGAAGGACTTGTCTTCCCCTCACTACCTATTTTCAGTGACCAGCTTTGAAACTTGCACAACCTTCATTCCACAACTACTTGAAGACCACCTTATGGCTCAGCTCGCTTTCTAAGACAGGGCCAAGCATGTGTGGAAATCCACAAATACTGGAGGGGTAGATTCTACAGAGCTTCATCACAACCCAGCTGAAGGTTCAAGGAACTGTTGAAAATCGGAGCACACTCAGAAGTGTCTGTTCCTCACTTAAAACTGAAAGGATCATAACACCAAGGGGGAGATATTGTCTGCCAACCTTTTGGTGCATTCTCAATGCTTCTGTCTTGGGCTGTTTTCTCTCTTATTTCTTCCCTGGTCCTTTACAACTGTGTGCAAATTAGCTGATAAGCAACCTCTTTTGGTCAATACTCAAACTGGATAGCCATATTTATACAACTGTGAAATACCAACAAATAATAAAAATAGACCCCTGTGCACACATTTGAGGTACAGAAAAGCAAATGGCATTCCTTCCAGAGTTCTGTTTTGGCATTTTTGAAAGGGCAATTATTGATGAGACAAAAAACACTGAATGGCATGGACTTTTTTGTTGGTCTTGCCAAGCAGCTCTATAGCTGTTTGCTGTTTTCAGTAAATTATGATAAACTATGATCACGCTGCTGGATTCAGACAAAACAATCAGGATGGAAGCAATCCTAAAACAAGCCATGGGTTCTTGGGTTGGCTTGTTCATAAAAAAAATAAGCAAACTGCTCTGGAAACTTAATTGGATTCAGGCAACGTGACAACCTACCCATGCTGGGTTGTCGTATTATGGGAACCAGGTCAATGGGTGATGCTGAAACATTCTGCCCTGTATGAACCAAGTTTGCATCTGTTCTGAGTGACTCAACAGAACTAAGAAAGAAAAAGACCTTGGAGTTTTTATGGACAATGGGCTAACTATGACAATGCGGCTGCAAAAAGGGCAACTGCTATTTTGGGATGCATTAACAGAAGAATTACTTCCAAATCACAAGAAGTAGTAGCTTCCCTATAGTCCTCACTAGCCAGACCCCATCTGGAATACTGTGTCCAGTTCTGGGCACAGACAGTCAAGCAAGATGCAGAAAAATTAGAAAAGGTCCAGAGGAGGGCAACAAAAATGAACCAGGGTTTGAAAACTCTGCCCTGTGAGGAGAGACTGAGAGAACTGGGCATGTTCAGCCTTGAGAAAAGAAGGCTGAGGGGGGACATGGTATCACTCTATAAGTACCCCAAAGGTTGTCACAAAAAGTAAGGTCAAGATCTTTTCTCACTGATGCCAGAGTACAGGACATGGAATAATCAATTCAAGTTCTGTCAACCCAAATTCAGGCTAGATATGAGCAATACTACAGTGGAACCAGTTGCCTAGAGATGTCATGGGCACTCCCACACAAGAGACATTTAAAAAGAAACTGGACAGCCATCTGAGTAGGATGCTGTAAACTGCTGTCCCGGGCACCCAATGTCCTTTATTGCCCCTTCCAATTCTACAATTCTATGACTTCTGAGTAGACCCTTCCTCCTGTGTAAACCCTGGATGAAAGGATCTTCTGGAGGTCCAGAAATTGCTCCTCCAGCAACTCCAAGCATCCCACCTGCTCCATCGCTGCCAGTGCTCTGGAGAGGTGTGGAATGTGGGAGAAGCGTCAGGAACCCCAGCAGGGATGGTAGTTCAGGATCTCAGGAGGGCATTCCTGCAGTGGGGTCATCTTTTTGTAGGGGTGGTGTTTGCTGAAGAATCCAAATAATCCTCCCAAGAAGTCTTGTCTAGGCTTCAGTCACCTGGAAGGCTCATAGCATCCTAAAACCCCCAGATGATATGTGAAACGAGTGCATTTGTGCATTTTTTATGAAGCAGTAGCTGTGGGGACTCTGATCCAGATTAGGGGGCAGTGGGGATCGAGGAGGGGGACTAATACTTTCCATTCACAGACTTTCTGGGAAAAAAATCACACACAACCCAGCTGGTATTTGTCCCAGGAGAGTTTCTGTTGTGGACACAAACAGCAATTTCTCTTTCATTTTAAAAAGTCGTTTTAGGAGGGAGATTGTCACTGGAACTGTGGAATGGGGATAGCAGGTGAGGGGTTATACAAAATATATACATACAAAGACAAAGTCAGTTGCTTATCAAGTGACTTTGGCCCCAATTCTTTGGCAGATATGTAGAAAAAGATAAATATTTAAGTGAAAAAAAGGAAAGTTTGAAAAGATCATCTTCTGTCTCATTTTGTCACCTACTAAATATAATTAAAGGTAAACTATCAAGTAACAAACATTGGAATTGGATGTTGGGTACAGTATTAAACTGTAGATGATCATTTGGAAATTAGTATCAACATTTGCAAAGGAGAATTCCAATTTGAGTGACAGTTCATCAGTATTCTACCTCAGAGCAGCCCTAGAAAAAGGTACCCACACTCCCACTTTCAAATGCCCTTCTCCAGTTATTTCTGTCCCTGTGCCTGATACAATCCACTGAGAAATGATGCAGCACAAGTCTCACTGAAAAACAAAACAAAACAGAAGGAGCAAAATGTTTTTAACAGGACTTATGTTGAAAAACTTCTAAGTATTATACTCAGTGGTTGTGATCTAGGATGTAACAAATTATTTAAATGATTAGTGTGTGCTTTTAAAATACTATTCTCTCTCCACATTGTAAGATGCTTCTAAATGTCCCTAGTTCTTTTTTTTTAAATTAGCATTCAATACGGCATTAAAGGGTAATGTAGTGCAATGGTGGAGGCAGGGGAGGTGATTGGAAAAAGACAGCGGCAAGTATGTGCAGAAATCCTTGAGGGGGTTCATTGGTTCATTTATTCTATTGTTCTGCCTTGTGCAGTATTTATAAAACTATAGCAATAAATGAGAAATCCCATTATGATGGTACTAAATGAAAAAAAGAAAGAAAAGTAAGACAGCAACACTACCTTTCACAAGCAAACAGGATTTTAAGTGGGAGGATTATTGTAACATTTTTCTCAGCTACAGAATTAACACATAAGTCATAGAGGGCAGTTTGCTTCAATCTTAATTGTCTCACTGTGAAAACAGAATCATTAAGGCTGTTTACTCTGCGTTAAGCAATGGTAAATTAGTATTTGGTAACTCTGTATTGTTACCCATTTATTTACAGAAGTTATCCTCATTGTCTTTTAACTGGAGCACTGCCTACAAGCAGATGTTCTGGGTAACACCCACCTCTCCATGTACAGTGGTACCTTGGCTCACAAAATGAATCCGTTCCATGACTCTGGTCGCGACCCAAATTGGTCGTGAGCCAAGTCAAATTTCCCCATAAGGTTCAATGTAAATAAGTTTAGTCCGTTCTGTAACCATTTTTTTTAATCTCAAAAAATTGAAACAAAGTGACAAACAACAACAAAGATTACGGCCATCCCCATCCCCACCCCCAACCCAGCATGTCTGTGATTGCTCCCGTCTTCCCTGCATGAGTGGCCGTGCTGGGGGACGGGGAGACAGGCACGATCACAGGCGCGCTCGGGGGGGGGAGATGGGCGCGATCATGGGTGCGCTGGGGGGAAGACGGGCACGCCCGCGATTGTTACTCAGTGCAGAATTCGCGACCTGAGGCAAAATTTTTGTGAAATTTCTGTTCGCAACCCAATTTAGTCGTGAACTGAGGCATTCATGAGCCGAGGTACCACTGTATACTCATAAGAATCATTCTGAATCATTGGCTTTGCATGCCAATACTCCCCCTAGTGATGACCCAGAAGATAGTGTGGTGCTAAGGAAGATGCCACTGCCAATGCGTAGTTACCCAAGAATAACCAGTTTGAAGACCATAAAGCTAGAAATAGTCAAAGGCAGAACAAGGGGAAGACCAACCTACTAGACTTTCCATGAAAGTATTGAATAATAAAGTATAAAGTTAATTCCATGAAGGAAAGCACAGCCTTGAGTTTATAAAAGCTGAGTTTATAGAGCTGTCAAGGACAGGTCATTGTGAAGGGCATTCATGCATTGGGACAGAATAAGTCAGATGACCTGACAGCATTTAACGAATTAGGTAACAAGAGGCCGAAGTCTGCATAACATGGAAGCATGCAACTGCTGACTGACCAACAGCATCCAATGTGGATCACACACTGTTAGCATCACTGGCACTGGCCAGTGATGATCAATCAGCAGCCATGTGACTTGAATACTGAGGACATGATGGCAGCCAAGTCCCTGTCTTGGCTGCCATAAGGCAAACCACCATGGATGCACAACTCTTGGGTCACAGGCAGATCTTGGCTGTGGACTGTACAGCCATCACCTACTTTTGTCCATGGCAAGCTGATCAACTGAATTTAAGAAAGAGACTGCTGCTATTAGCAGTGTGGGACAGCGAAAAGGAATGGGGACAGGAGGAGAGGCATTCTTCAGTTCTAAGCAGTAAACCTCCTTGTTCTTATATCTGAATTTAAACACTCTGCTCTTTAAATACTTTTAAAATTTAAAGGGATTTAAACTTTAAATATCCATAGTTTTGAATTTTTAAAGAGCAAGGTATTTAAAGATTAAATGCCTTTATCACTCTTATATCTGATCACTGATTGGAGACGAGTACAGGTTTTTTCCTGCTTAAAGACTGCCCACCCTTAATGAACCTAATCCAGACTGCATGTTTTGCATGCCTGAAAGAGGTTCCACTGGGGCTTACATCTGAGCAGACATGCAAAGCACTGCACTGTGCTTTGCATGCTTGGTGGTGAAATGTTCAAATTGTGTTTGTGGCTCCTCAACAAGCCCCAAATGTTGCCCCCAGGGTTGAAAAGGCAGTGCATCCCTGAAGGGCACAGTCTAAGGCAAAGGAATGCCCTCCTCTGTTATCATTTTTTTCTTCAATTTATATCCTGCCTTTTTCCTACAAAGGGCTCAAGGCAGCTTACATCATTCTCCTCCTCCATCTTATCCCCACAACAACCCTGTGAGGTAGGTTGGGCTGAGAGTCTGTGACTGGCCCAAAGTCACCCAGTTGGCTCCATGGCTGAGCGGGGACTAGAACCCAGATTGCCTGAGTCCCAGTCCCATGCCCTTAACCACTACACCACACTGGTTCTCCATTTGGTGACAGAAACCACTTCTTGCACATGGTGCTACATCACCAAATATGAAGATTGTGCTCTTAGTGGGCTGTGCCGCCTCTGAACGCAAGTCAGCTTCAGCTTTTAGGATGCAGAACATATGGTCCAGTACAGGGGGTGGGAGGGTGGATGCTATGGAAGAACATCACTCTTTGACCTTTCAGCTAATTATGGGCAAAAAGGAAAGTCAAATCCAAAAGAGTAAGCATACCTTAAACAATTGCATTTGGAGCTCGAGCTGGTTTCTAATTTGTACCAGAGAAACTTTCCATGAGAAAAAGCTAGAGAGGAGGAAAGCTGTTTAGGAAGCTGTTCCAGTTCTCTGTTTCCTCCCAACAAGGCAAGAACAAAGCCAAAATACCCTGGCTTGATATGTTAATTGTTTATGGGTCAGATTCATTTGTCAGAACTAAGCAATAATACTGGGCTTTGTAACAATTCCATTTTTATAAGCTGGTATAACAACAGAGCTTTTACTGATGCTGATACCTTCTATTGCCTAGAACATTTCCTCCTCTTCAAATGTCTTCATTTGCCAAACAATTTCTACCTAGTCTGTCTGAGCTTCTAGATAATCTTGCAGCTAGAAAACCTCCCAGCTGGCAACTAATACAAGGAATTTGGGACTTTGTCTGGTTTCCTGCCAGGGAACAGCTACTCTGCCTTTACTGCTTGTTAGACTTTCTGCTTGAACTTTCTAGCAACTGAACTAATAGACCACCCTTCCCCTGGATTTGTCATCCATTCTGGCTGACAAGGTTTATTGCACCTGGCACTGCTGAAACCTTCTCTGATGCTGCTGTTCTTATAGATTGTGATTTATTGTTTTCCATGAACTGAGTGCCTTTGTCTTTAATTATTCAGAAAGCCTTCCGGTCAGGACTATCAATGACAATTGTTTTGTATTAACACCCATACATTAGAAATTTTGAGTGCAGACTCTGTTGTTGGACCAGAGCTCCAGCAGTTTGCATGAATGTCTCACCTTGTCTGATTATGGGAGTACTGTCTGAACCAGAAGCCCTCTTCATTAAGAGGTCTGTGTGGGGGAGGGGGACTTCTTTACTACCCAGGACTCCTTTTTGTCTAATTCCTCAATCCCTGGACTTAGTTAAACTTGTAAATCAACAATGTGAGTTCCTGAATTATGAAACATTTCCAATAATGTGGGATTGTGCCTAGCCATGATTTATTTCTGTATCCTTGAACCTGAGTTAGCCCGGAGATTCTGTTCCTGGAAATTTTGCTTCTGGGACTATTTTTTATCACCTAGGGTTGTTTGACCTAGTTTCTTCTTGAATTCCTGCACTGGTGTGGAGCCCTGCCATTTAACAATCCTGTCAAATTCCTCCAGGAGCAGGGACTTTGCCTAACTACAACTATTCTTTTGTCTCAGCCTGCTTTTTAGAATGTTTCTATTTTTGCCCAGGAATCTAGTCTGTATTTGACTTATGAAGTACAGCCTATTCTTTAATCCTGTGTTATAAACCTAGATCCTTAAATGCTTTGAAACCCTAATGTTTTTTCTAAGAATTACATTTTTGACTATGATTATGTACTTGCTTCTGGATCACTCCTTAATCTAAGCCAAGGCCATTAGCTTTTGAGTTAATTGATCTGTAACTTGAAAAATTAAAGATCAACTTCTGAAAAGTGATCTATGTCACCTGTTTCATAAAACTGAATTACTGAATCTATGTCTCTGCCATCCTGTCCTACAAAGAAGAAGCTAGGCCCAACCAGTAGTAAGGCTGCTAGCAGGTAACTGATCTAGCACTCACATGAATAAAGGCTGACTTTGTGCAGTTTCCCAGTTGGCTGAAGCATTTAGAAACTTTCTCTGAGGGACAGATAAATGGCAAGGTGATTTTCGACCTATTCACTTGCTTTGCTACCCAAGGAACCTGTCTCAGCCTGTACAAGTCAGGATGAGCAACATAATTATTTCATCTCCAGTGATCCTTTAAGAAGAAAACAGGAGATGGGGGAAGGCATGAAGAGAGGAGATGGAGGACTGCTGTGAGCTTCTGATGCATTTATATACTACCTTAAGCCAACTGTGAAGACAGATCTCCCTTTGGCCTTGAAAAGATTACTGGTGAATCCTTGTTGTGTGGTGGAGCTGTGCATCAGTATAGCTGCAGGTGCACTTTGCCAAAGTTTTGCATCAGCACAATAGTTAAGTATTTAAAGCATTTGCCCCATTCTTCAGCTGACAAGGTGAATCACCTTACATGTGATAAATAAGAACAAGAACTATGATGATGATGATGATCATTATTTTCAAAAAAGGCCATTCAAATTAGTGATTATTTTTTCTTGTTCTTCTTTCATTCTTGCTCAGAAGAAGCTTGATATTAATTGCTTCTGCTGAAAGGTGGAAGGACACAATACTAGAGAAGCAGCAACAGCAGAGGGCAATTATAGTACTTAACCCGGCTGGTTCCTTCTTTTTCTCCTGATCTGCAGGACACTTGGAACAGCACTGAATGTTACAGTTGTGCTTCTACTGTGTATGTTGCACCAGTGGCACCCATCACGAGTGCAACAAGAAAGGGGGCAGAATGTTTGTTTTCAAATTGGGACAAATTAATAGAGGTTCTTCTGCAAGATCAGTTGACCTGTTCCATTTTGGCTTGTTTCCAGTCACTCTAGAAGCACTAGCTTCCTGTTGTACCTGTGGTGGGTCCCATGATCACCCAGATTAGAATAGCCTAGGAAAGAAGCAGGCAGCAGTTCCAGTTGTACCAGTGTAATTGTGTATGAAAGGACAAGTACACAAGTTTTTTTGTGTTTAATACTATACGTTATTTGCTTTGCATCTGCCATGGAGCTGAGCTCTAAAGGCTACCTCAGAACTGTCTTTGAGAAAAGAGAAGACTCCTCATGATAAAATGCCATTGTTGGAATTTGAACCTTAGAAGATTTTGTGCAACATGGTGAACCCATCAGCTTTGTTTATCTGCAAGGTATGTCATGCTCTGGAAAATCTGCAAAGTCCCCCTTACTTGCAATATTGGGCCAGTGATGTTTTTCAAGAATGTGTTTTTTCTTTCAAGCATATCTAGTGTTTTATCTTTCCCAACAACATGGAAAATTTATGAATTAATGAATATGCTGCCTACAAAACTGTAACATCTTAGCTGCCACTTTACTTGGACTTTTTTTGCTGAGCAAGTAAAATCTGACTAAACACAAAACAAATAGCAACATGCTGCATACAGATAAATGATAGTTTTTTAACTATGCATTTGGCTTACGGGGGCTAAATTGAAGCTGCTACTGCTTTTTTTCCTTTACCTTTGTGAAGCCTGACTCTTTCGTTGCTGTTCTATTATAATGAACAGGTCTGCTTGCTTCCCAAGAGTCAGCTCCATACTGATTTCCTCTTTTTCCTAGAAAAGAGGAGAAAAGATAGCAAGTTCCTTGCAATAACATAAGAGTACAGCAAAAGAAAAAAATGTTCATTTCCAGACAGAAGAGTGCCATTGACTGGCAGACATGATCTGACAGGCATTTGTCTCAGAAATTGTGGAATCTCTTTGCTCATATGTGAAGTAGTTAGAATCCCACTGGGAAGCCTCTGTGGTCATTTCTAAGTGAGTAAGGAGATTCTTTTTTCTTAAAAGTTTCTCAGTGGATGGGCTTTGTTTCAAGGTTTGTGCCTGAATAATAATGTAACTGGAAACATGAAGTTGCTTTATGCTTGTCAGAGCTTTACAGTGCAGTCTAAGATGTGTCTAGTCAGAAGTAAGGCCCTCTGCTTTTAATTAGACTTACTCCCAGGTAAGCGTATATAGGATCACAGTCCATCAAGGACAGTGTTTTATGCTGTTCTCTGCAAGGGCTCTTGCACAGAGGAGTGCTGCCTTAAACCTCAACATCTCCATCTCCTGCGCAAAGGAAAGGAAGTCTGGAACCTTCTCTCTATAAAGCATATGCACTGCTATGGAGCCCCAGTCCTTACTTTCACCTCATCCAAAGGCTCTTCCAGGTTAAACTGATTTGCAACCACACCTATTTCCCCCCTCACCCTACTGTATGCAACATTGCTGAATTGCTTGCAGTTGTTTCAGAATCTTATCTTTACCATGAAAAGTCAATTTACCATTTCATCTTCTTTGAGTTGTATCCTGTGTTAGTCCTACTAAGCTGTAATGAAATGAATGGCAGCTAAGCTAAACTAACATTGGAAGCAACCCATTGTTTGAAGAACCCATTTCTACGGTGTCAGTTCACTTGCAGTGTAGTCTGTATATAACAGGGAAAATGAATAGTTGAGTCAATATCAGGGCTGCACTGAGATCAGTCAGTTCCTTGAAGCCCTCTAATCCTGAACATGTAGTCCTAAATCCATCCTCTGCATTACCTAAATCTGGAGCATCCCAGCATAAATTGTAAGAAACTGAATCTTGACTAGACTATTTATAAACTCTTTCAATAGTATGAAAAGTATGGCATAATTTTAAACAATTTTCCTAAGGTGGCAGACTTGGGCAACTTATTTTAGATGCCTCGGGCAGCAAACATTTAAGGTATTATTGCTGACAGATACCCCAGTGGAGGGAAAGGAACTTGTGGGATTCTTTTCTGGGGTTCCAAATTAGTTTGGTTGGCCTTGTGTGGGAGGAATGGGATTTCCTGCTTCCCCTCAGGGAGAAAATGGCTTGGTCCAACTCTGCTGGTGTGCAATAATATTCATAACTACCTACTGATAGTTCCCCAGTATGAAGTTAATCTTGATACAGGAAAGAGAACATATGATGTGAGCCTCCAAATCTGTATCTGGGATTCATGGGAGGCAAACAATAAATTACTTAATCCTCTATTGCTTTTGTTTCCCATTATTGAATCTACAATCTCCATGGAAAACTAAGCTACCTTATGGCACAGCTCTGCACTGCTCTTAAGGATACTCTGTGAATACTAACGATCCTGTACTCCAAGTCTGTCTACATATTTCTCAGTCTGTCAGATGTTTAGAAGTCTTGGGGTACTTTATAAATAATAAAAGCCATGCGGGGAGAGTAGAAGCTCACCTTCATAGGTTTCATGGATCATATTTCACTTAAGATTTAGAAACCACACAAGAAAATAAACAGAAGATGTAAAGGAAGTTGAATAGTCACCGTTAAAGAACCTGGATGCCTCTGAATAGATAATACAGTCCTTCAGCCTTTTACTACTCTGGCTGAAGCATATCAGTGAGTCCTGATGTAGGATAGAATGTTTATTCTACATGTTACCATGACACTTAAGCAAATATTCCATTTTCAGAACTAGAAAATGGTAATAATGGGCAATCACTTTGGTTTGGCTTTTCTGTCTCACAAAACTTTTACAGCAGACAGTCAGGCCTCAGAGCTAGAAAGTCAAACTGTATCTGAACTGAAACCTGAACTAAATCACTTCTCCATCTCTCCGATTACTATATTTAGTATATCAGACAAAGGAACTGGTAGCCCAACACATCCAGAAGGCCACAGCTCCCATCATCCCTCATCACTGGCTATGTTGCTTATGGCTGATGGGAGTCACAGTACAATAACATCTGGATAGCCAAAACTTTCTCACCCCTGCAGTATATTCATACATTAATCAATATTAAAATGTACTCCCACTTAATTCAGGCATGAGAACATAATCTTATGGACAATTAGGAATAAGCACCATCACTTCCAAGTAAATATGTATACTGCTGCACTGCAAGTCTTTTTTTTTTTTTAAATGGAGCTAGGTCTAACTCCATTTCCGCCCCCAATCAGAACTTGAACCAGTATTTGAAAGTCTATGTTGATGCATAGATGAAAACTCAGATCACTAATTCATACAAAATAATCAACCTGCGAGTTCAGAAATACTTTTTAAAAATGTGCTGAAACTCACTTGCCCTTCTTAGATTAATCATGGCTATATAAAATATTTCTGATAGTTTGCATATATATATTGAGTGTATTCAGTTTCTGTACTGTATTCCCTTTATGAGTCAGAAAACCATGCATAGGAGTCTTGCTGCTTTAAAGTGTGAAAGCCACAGTAGCATAATATGAGGATAAAACCTCATGGAAGAACAGGGGGACAAAATTTTTGTGTGTGCACTCTCTCGTGTTGTAACGCTCATGTCTCTATGTTGTTAAAACTTTTAGTTGCTAATGTGGACATAAAGGCCAGCAGCTACTTATTATAAAGTGACTTCCAATATCACCCACATGGGCCTACAGTGGAGTTCTAGACAGCACAGGTATAGTCCCAGTGTTCAAACTCTGATGCAGAGGAGAACTGGGCATCATGGAAAGGAAAAATGTGCACCAGTGAGAAAGTGAAGTGATTGTTTTAATTGTAAACTCCACATGTTTTCCTCAATCATATTACATCTTTCAAACAACAAGTAATAATCCAGGATTAACATACAATTTCCCTGTTTGTCCATATTCTCACCCCTCATCACTGCATGTCCCTATATAGTGTTTTCCGCCTAATATGTCTGACCATCTGGTATTAAGATTAACTAGAATATCATAGTAACATTAAACTGCTGAATTAAGGCTTAGGCCAGTGGCTATTTCTGGCTTTTCCAGGACACAAGCTGAAGCACTTCAAAAGTGTGCAGAATCAGTTTGAGCCGAAACAAAACAAAACAAAAAACAAAATAAAATAAAATAAAATAAAATAAAACAAAAAGAGTCTGCCTGCTATGGCTACCCAGATCCTTGAGATGCTGCTTTAGCATTTAGCGTGCCTACTTCATCAGGATTGGATAGTTGCTTGGTCAACTTAGGGAGGTCCAGTATGCAAATTAGAATTCCTGATTGAGTCTTCTCTCTGCCTTAAAGCAAGATTGGCACACCAACAAATGTTACAGATTTGTTTGTGTGGTGCAAGCAGCCGTCTTTCAGAATATAAGTGAATGATCATGTCCCAACTGCCTACATGACAAGGAGTCGATACATTAAAACAAATGGAATCACTTGTAGCAAAAGAATATGAGAAAGACCTTTCCTTCCCCCAGTACTATAGCTCTAAAATTAGGAATTTTACTCTCTCTTGAACTTGAGGCCTGGCATGTTCCTTAGAGCAGTGGTCCCAACCTGTTTGGCACCAGGGACCAGTTTCATGGAAGACAATTTTTCCAAAGATGGCGGTGGTGGTGGTTTCAGGATGATTCAAGGGCATTACAGTGGTGTCTCATACTTCGAATATAATTCGTTTCAAGAGGCCATTTGAACTCTGAATTGTTTGAAGTCTGAATTAATTTTTCCTATTAGAAATAACAGAAAGTGAAAGTTCTCAGACCCTAAACAATACCCATTTTGATAAATTTAAACATCAAATATAGCCTCCTGAAATGGATTAAGCTTGAGATTACATATGAGATGTTATAAAAAACAGTGGATGTTTAAATTTTAAAAAAATTACAATAAAAGACACATTGCCATTAATCCCCCTCAAATGCTCCCCCTTGCTTCAAACACACTTTCCCCATCGTTCTTGAGTATCTTTAGTTGCACTCAGGGCTGCCTCGATATCCTGAATCAATTCAAGCCGAATGGGATTCAAGACAAGACACTGAGACAGAGTGTCTTTTATTGCAATATATTTTTTTCAACTTGGGCACACAATCGATGTTTTTGCTGCAACTGCATTTTTTTCACTTTGCTCACAGTTCAAATTTAGAAGCATTGTTCAAATTGCAGTGAACTCTAAATCATTCGAAGTTAGAGTCTTGCTGTGTGGGTTGGTTCTTAACAGGCCAGAGACCGGTACCGGGGGGGGGGGGGATGGGGGTCAGGGACCCCTGCCTTGGAGGAACTTTTTACCTCAGTTTCAGGCAGCAGGAGGAAAAGGACAATTCTAGATAGTCAGTGGTAAGGGAAAGTTGACTCTTCATCTACTAAATATTATCTCCTTTGGTAATAGTAAAAGGAGAATTAATGCAGGGTAAGCTTTGAGCAGGGAAACCTCTGGTTCAAATTTCACCTTAATCAGAAAACCCCTGCCAAAAAAATGAAACCTTGAAATAAGTATGTACAATAACAGAGACACCAAATAAAGAAAACAAAGGCATGTTTTTCTCCCTTAGGATGCTGTCTGGGTGTTCTGCTTCTGTTCTAAAGAACCTCAGGAGATTCATGCATGGGTCTTGCACATCTTGAAGCAAAAGCTAACTGCCTGCAGAGATGATTATAGGATCTAACATGAAACAGACAAATGAACTCTTTTCAGCTATCAAAAAGCCAGAAGTTGCAAATCCTTTACAGGAGGCACAATAAGGGGCTGAGCTCCTATCAGGGGACTACCAAGAATATTATTGGTTTCCATCCTATAGAAGGTCCTCAGTAGAAAGAAATGCCACATTATATTCTGCAGTGCCATCTCCCTTTATGCTTATTTAATA